AAAAAAGGGATTATTATGGACCCAGGAAAGATTATTGGCCTAGTTCGGTACAATCAGAATCGGGTTGAGGTCTGTGAATGGATTTAAATATGAATATGGGCTCTATATCAGGCCGGATGTATTCATTTCAGCATAGTGCTCCTTATGGAGGAGTATTCTGACGTAGGATTTTATTTCGTTATCGGCTATTTCATGTAATGCTATATTGTGCTGTGTGAGTTGCAAGACGGCTTGATAAATTTCATATGTGTTGAGGTTCCGCGTAGCAATGGTGTTATGTGAACAGGATGGCTCTTGAGATTCAGATCATATATCGCACTTCAGTTGTGCAGCTTATGACACTAGCTATCTCCTAGGGATGGTATTGTGCACTTAGCGTGCTTGTGGCCGATATTCAGTATTTTGTAGTAATGAGCAATTTAGCTCGGTGTGTATCTTCTTATGTGAATTTTATGTGTGGATCGAACAGCACGCCGCCACGGGTATCTTGTTTGGATCGGGTTGCACGCTGCAATAGTGTGATGTTGAGTACAGTTTCTATATTCTATTTTTGTGTGTTTTGTTTCCATTTTCTGAGGAAAGTTCGTATTAGTTGCATGAGTTGAATAGTCCCTTCCAGAGTTCATTTTCCTTATGTATCACGTTCGAACTGGTAGCCGATTGGCACATTTTGGCATCATGTGAGACATTTGGTCAGGTCTGGGGAGGCTTATTGCCTGAGCAGTTCGTAATGGGTGAGACGAGATTATGGGATCTAGGATCAGTGCAATAAGACTATATGAAGTGTATTAAAGAGCAAATACCATTATTTGGTTCAGAATGAGGTGATGGTTCTTGTCAGGAGTATAGATCCAATGATTGTTGATTCGGCAACGGTTATGAATTTCTACGCACATCTTCCATCATGGTGGTATTGTAAGAGTTAAAGCAAGACCTATGTATGTCATGAGGTGCAATGGAAGCATCAGAATCGTTGAAATTTCGGCTATTGTTATTAGAGGATGTTATTATGGTCATATGAGTTATGCAGCGCACAGTGTGAATTCAGAAAAGGTGTGCAGTCATGTCTCGGTGCATCGTGCAGTGATTGATACGGTGATCATATGTTAGAAGCAGGCCTGGCGGAGGATTTCAGATGTTGAAACTGGGCTCTAAGGCTTATTTGCCTAAATAAAAGAGAATATCTTCAGATTTGATTGAGATAATGTGCTCAACTGAGTTGTGGTAGCACGGGTGGGTGCTCGGGGTATTAAACAGCAATTTCGGGCATCTCAAGCGCAGTTCTTAGCACATTCGAGGACGAACGTATGTTTAAGTGAGAGAAAATGTAACCACCCGACCGGTCGTTTTGAGTTCTAGCATGTCGTTCAGCAGTTTAAGGCCATGATCAGCTTCACTTCAGGTATTATGACTTATACACATGGTCGGAATTGAATTTCGGGAAGTTCGGAGTTCATCTGGAAAGAGAATTCTCATTTCGGAAGCTTTAAGTTGAAAGAATTGACTAAGATTGAATTTGTGAGTAAACGACCTCAGAATCGGGATTGAAGGTTCCAGCAAGTTCGTATGATGATTTCGGACTTGGGCGTATGTCCGGATCGGATTTTGGAAGACCCGAGAAAGTTTCGGCACTTATTGTGGAAGTTAGCATTTTTGGAAGAATTTCATAAGTTTGGGTTGAAGTGCATTTCAGTGTTAGTAATGTTCGTTTGGGATTCCGAGTCTGGGAATAGTTCCGTATGGTGATTCTAGTGTTGGGAGCACGATCAGAAGTGAATTCGGAGGTCCTTGGGTCATTTTGGAGTCATTTGGCTAAAGTTAGAAATTTGAAGGTTTTTGAGAAATTTGACCAAAAGTGGACTTTTTTATATCGGGGTCAGTATCTAATTCCAGAAGTTGGAGTAGGTCCGTAATGTCAAATATGACTTGTGCGCAAAATTTGAGGTCAATCGAACGAGTGATAGGTTTCGGCATCGAATGAAGAAGTTTGAAGTTCTAAAGTTCATTAAGTTTGAATCGAGGTGTGATCAATGAGTTTAGCGTTGTTTGATGTGATTTGAGGCCTTGAGTAGGTCCGTGTGATATTATGGGACTGGTTTGTGTGATTGGACGGGGTCTCGAGGGCCTTAGGTGTGTTTTGGAGTGGTTTCAGATCATTTCGGGCTGTGTTATTGCTGCAGATTTCTGTTTCTGGTTTCCTTCTTTGTGATCGCGAAGGGAGTTCCGCGATCGCGAAGAGGAAGGTGGGAGGTTGCTGGATTTGGCCTTCACGAACGCGGAGTGGAGGTCGTAAACGCGAAGGGGTGGACTGAGTTATCTACGCGAACGCGAACGGGCGATCGCGAACGCGTAGAAGGAAATAGGGGAGCGGGGCCTGAGGACGTTGGCCTACGCGAACGCGAGGCCTGGTACACGAACGCATAGGGTCTGAAAAGCTGACCCTCACGAACGCGAGCACCGGGCCGAGAACGCGATGAAGAAATTTAGGGATGAAGCAAGTTGTGGTTCACGAACGTGAGGGCATTTTCGCGTTCGCGAAGAAGGGCGGACCTGGGTTGGGCAGACTGTTTAAAAACGGGGTTTGAGTTCATTTTACCCATTTTTTACTCGGCTTGGGCGATTTTTGGAGCTTTTGAGGAAGGGGTTTCGTCATATATCATAAGGTAAGTGATTTCTTCTAGTTATGGGTTAAATATATGGTTTATATATGTATTTAAGCATGAGAAATTAGTGGAAATTTGTGGTTTTGAAGGAAAGACCTAGAAATTGATACTTTTGGATTTTGACCACGTTTTGGGCATGAAATTGAGAATAAATTATATATTCGAGTTCGTGAGGTCATAGGTAAACTTTATCTTCAAAAAAATTCGAAATCCGGGCACGTGGGCCTGAGGGAGATTATGTCAACTTTTCGATCGGGGTTAGAGATTTTTATAAATTGGATTATTATGAGTAATTGAACATGTATTAATGGATTTACATAATTGTTGGCTAGTTTTGAAGCATTGTGCATCGATTTGAGTCTTCGGAAGGGCGTGGAATGCCGATTATGGAACTTCGGAGCGAGGTGAGTCTCCTTTCTAACCTTGTAAGAGAGAATTGTCCCCATAGGTAAAATAATTGTTTATATGTGTCTATTTGTGGAGGCTACGTATGCACGAGGTGACGAAAGTCTGTGCATAGCTACTATTGTGCTTATGTCCGGGTAGTCTAGGACCCAAAAGCATGCTATACTTGAAATATTTGTAACCTGGTTGATAATTTAAATTGTTTAAATCATATCGAATTAGTAAATGAATTTCTAAAAAGTTAAACTTCGTTTTCTTAAACGTTAAAAGAGAAATGACTTTTCCTTGGATAAATGTTGCCTGATGAAATTCTTAATTGACTATTTGAATTTGTGTATCTATGAGTACCTGCATCGCACGTATGATTCGCGAGCGGGGTAACTTTATTATTATATTTGACCGCGTCTCATGTATGATTCGCGAGCGGAGTAATAGATGCATCTATGGTTCGCACCATTCGACCCTCTAACAGTCACAGTTTAAATATTGTTGGATTGTGCCGTATGACCTCGACATGAATTGCGCATGCTTGTATTGCTTGCGTGAAAAATTGATAATTTATGAAATTGCCTCCCTGGTCTGAGATAAATTAATAAAATCATGGATTACGAATTTGGAAACTTCTAAATATAAAAAAGGTTGTTTACTTGTTTCTTGATTTACTTGAGTTTACCGCAGTTTCTAATAAATCCATGATTATTCACCTTATTAGTATATCATTATCGGACCACTAGTAAATGTCGAAGTCGACCTCTCGTCTCTACTTCTTCGAGATTAGACTGGATATTTACTGGGTACACGTTGTTTCTATACTCATGCTACTCTTGTTGCACAGGCACATGTATCTCTAGTGGTCTAGTGGACGTAACAACATGGTTGATACAAAGACTTAGGTGAACTACACTTCTCGAGACGACCCGCAGCCGGCAGAGTCTCTTTCAGATTACTGTATTTACTTTCTGTCCAATTTGTATTCCGGACGGTTGTTGTATTACATTATTTCCTAGAGATAGCTCATGCACTCGTGACACCAGGTTCTGGGATGATTATGGGATTATTCAATATTAAGTTTGTTAAAGGCTTCATGTTTATTTTCTGTCAATTTCATTATTTATTGTTTAATGTATAAAGAAAACGATTTCAACAAATACTAAACGGGAATATGAATAAACTTCATGGTGTTGGCTTTCCTGACAATGTGTCTGACGCCATCACGACCTTTTGTGAATTTTGGGTCGTGACATGGCAAGTGGACTCATGTTCCTACTTTTTAAAACATAAACTAAAAAGGCAACGTTTAAGTTTACTTGTTTCCTAATTAGATGCTTAGCTGATAGACAATTTAAAACGGGAAAAAATTGAAAATATTGCATTTTAGGATCCAAGTAAAAATTAAGGCACGAGCAGTTTATATATTTGTAAAATTCAACACATCATATAAATAAATTAGATTAAACGTGCACACTTGAAATTAGTAAATTGCATAAAGGTCCAGGTTAAAGCTTACCTTCTCCGTCAAAATTTACATTGTCAACAAACTGTAGATCCTCCATATTCTTTGAGTACAAAGTATATGTTTTATTATTCACTGTAGAATGGATCCTAAAATGCAAGATTTTCAGTTGATTTTTTTTATAATTTATATGAAAGAGGAGACCTAATAATATGATGAAAGAATATCCGCTGACTTTGTTACCATTCCCATGATCACCGATTTTAGGAGATTTTTTTCCTTTTTAATTTTCTTTTATTGTCCATCAGCTAAGCATCTAATTAGGAAAAAAATAGACTTAAACGTTATTTTTTTAGTTTGTGTTTTAAAATAAGTAGAAAATAAGGTAACTTGCTAGAAAATAAATTAGTCTGGTATAAATAATGTTTGTTATGCGACTTATATAGTCATACGGTTAAATAGCTTCATTCTTTCTAGAATATAGTGATGGTTGAAAATAAAATAGTATAGAGTCATGAAATCAAAACAAGTATGAGAACGAGAGAAGCTTGAGAAATTCTTAATACTTGATTAAGAAGTTGAGTTAAAGGTTTAGAAAAATTAGAGGAAACATGTGAAAGACGGAAAGCCGAATTGGAGATATTATATCACGGTTTAAGAACCTATGAAACTAAAAGAATATAAACAGAAACAATATCAATCAAAGAGCTCATTTTGTTCGATTGTTCTGGAAACAAAGATAATCCAAGTTCTCTGATTCGCCAAGTATTTTCTTGTCTCATCTGTAGTCCTTGTTGAAATGCATTTATTTCAATTACCGATGGTTTAACAGAAACAAACAGAATCGAGAAAAAACATATATCAAAAGGAAGAAAAATCCAACTTGTAGAATATCTTGGTATTGAGATAGAAAAAAAAATATATGGGAACAACTGATTCTGGGCGATGACAAGCGCTACAGAAGTTAGAGGAAGCTTCCTATAGGTACATTTTTGTGTTCTTTGTAAACTGTAACGTGTATTTTTCTTCTTGTGCAGAATAGTTAAACTTTGTTTTCACTGTGGTGCCTCTTTTTTATGACGTGGTGTTAGAGGCAGCTTGCACGCAACTCGATTATTGCAACAAGTACCTGTTAGCATACGTGCCGCACATGTACCAGGTAACTAAGACTTAGAAGAAATCATGTAGTGTTTTTTTCTCCTTTTTCATTGTGGTGTTGTCCGCATAAATGTCCAATTGGACTCAATTTTAAGCTTTTAGTAATGCTTTCCATATGGGATTTTTGCATTGTGGATTTGACGCATGCATGCCAGCTTTATACTTCTTTTATAACAATAGGAGATTGGGTTTGATTATGATTCATTTGTTTATAAAATAATTCTTGCTATGTTTGCTTCCAGAGGATAAATTCAAGAAGTTTGTTTGGTGTTTGATAAAAAGTCACAGAGAGATATCAAGGTAAAAACAAACTAGAGAAAGCTTTTATATATAATGTGGATGTACTGGTTAAGCCTTGATGACTTTTATCAGTTTTGAACATGCTCAGAAATTAAGCTATCTTGGAGTATTACCAAGTTTCTTGTACTATCAATGAAGATAATAAAATCTATTACAGTTCTTTGAATAACAATCTTGCAAATGCGAACTATTACTTGGGAGCTCTATTTTACGCTCTCATCTTTCTTCTTGTTGATGGATTCCTTGAGCTGTCTCTGTCCTTGACAATTACGAGACTTGCAGTTCTATAAACAAAGCAACTTGTGCTTTTACTATAATTTCTCTCATTTCTGCAGTCACATATTTTCCTTTTCCTTCCCTGTTTTTTGGGCCTTAAATTAACATCCGATAAGATATCTTTCTTTGGCTTATAGAATCGTGATGGATTGTTATTTGAACACTTCAAGCTAAAGATGTATTAGCTGCTGTGTACAAAGTCTTTGTTTTCTTTCTGGAGTTTTATGACGAGTTTCCACAATACTTCTGCCCTTTTAAGTCTTAAAACACATCTGAACTATCAAGAAAAAAACACATAATATTCTTAGTTGCTAACGGCTTCATCAATAGTTTTGTTCGTAATCAGTTTGAAATTGTGAACATCTTTGTTGCTTATAAGCTTAAGCTGAAGGAGGAGAATACATCTGTTGAACAATTATTGTAGGAAAGTTCCTCCAGATGCTCGAAAGCATTGAATATGGTTATCTTCTAGTGCAGTCGAATCTTTCTTTTTTGTACTTCACCATTACTTTACTCATTTCATGATCATGTGCATGACATCAACCAAATTACTTTGCCTCTTACTTGTCCATTTTGTTTCCCCACCATTAGACAACATCAATATCATAACTTTTTTTCATTAGTAGGCAAATGATAAATACATAAAGCTATTAGAGTAGCATTTATTCATGGAGCACACCTCACACAGACACAAACAAACACACTCACACAGAGATAGAACAGAAGTTCCTTCTTGGGTATATTACTTCTGCCTCTTATTTGTTTGAGTTATACAGCTTACTTCATCAGCAGCTCCCTCTCTTCTGCAAAAATAAGATAAGATACTTAGATTGCAAGACAACTGGAATAGGGAATATCTTTCTCTGTTGAGCTTACTGACAGAGAGTATTTGTGGGAGGTGCATTAGCTAACATATGCCCTTTCAGTGATTTATACCAAACCTTTCCAGGCAGAGTATTTGGTTTAACCCTTTAAAGTTATATAAATTGAAGTGTAAAGAACTCTTACACTACATTGATTATACTAAGTTATTACACTATTTTTCAGGTTACCATATCTGACTTCCTATGAAAAGTTATATGTAATTGTAGGTCAAAAGCCTATATATTGCCAGTTCACAGGACTTCAGTTCAAAACTAAGAAGGCCTTAGCTATCCACTTTAATTATATTATCATGCAATTTGTAAGTTTCTAAGCTCTATGCAACTTTTCTACTGTATTACTACCGAAAGTATACCATGTCCTCTACGGCTGTAGCATTCTTAGCGATACCTCAAATATAGATAATGGTTACTATGAAATATAAATTAACTACAATGTCTTAACTTTCAAACAATTAAAAATTATTTTAAAAAAAATATTATATCAAATTGCATATTTTACCTCCTTATATAAGTAAATACTCAATAAATTTTATCAACACTGTAATTTAAAATATTACTCCTTCATGAGTAAATATAAAATTATTTTTAAATAGTAATATAATAAATGTATGATAATTTTGAGAGACATAGAACTAAGACATGAAAATCTATCAAGTAAAGATATAAATTTTAGTTATCTATTTTCAAAAGAAATATTCAAATGATGTTCACCCTCTCGATTTTCTCAGTTAGTAAATATGCAATACTATGGTTCGTTATTTGAGTTATTCACAATTTTCATATTCTATAGATAAAAAAAACTTTAACCATTCATTTGTTAAAGAATTTTGAGAGTCAACAGTGCTAATTAGTGACTTCAACACATGATTTGCATACGAACTATTGGGCGAGTCCCGAACGTTGAGCGTTAGGCGTGTTTAGGGCGCAAGCCGGGCGCTTGGGGGCGTAAGCCCCACACATGAGCCTCAAGGTGTTTTGATAGTGCCCCGCTCCGGGGCGAGCCCCGAGCCGAGTCCCAGAAAAGCCTTTTAAAACACTGCTTGCTACCTTCCATTAGCACATGTGCCGGGTAACTCTGTCCACTAAGACTTAAAAGAAATCATGTAATGTTATTTTTCCTTTTTCATTTTGGTGTTGCCTGCATAAATGTCCAATTGTACTCAATTTTAAGCTTTTAGTTATGCTTTCCATATGGGATTTTTCCATTGTGGATTTGATGCATGTACACCAGCTTGATACTACTTTTATAACAATAGGAGATTGGGTTTGATTATGATTCATTTGTTTATAGTATAATTCTTGCTATGTTTGCTTCTAGAGGATAAATTCAAGAAGTTTGTTTGGTGTTTGATAAAAATTCCCAAAGAGATATCAAGGTAAAAACAAACTAGAGAAAGCTTTTATATATAATGTGGATGTACTGGTTAAGCTTTGATGACTTTTATCAGTTCTGAACATGCTCAGAAATTAAGCTTCTTGTACTATCAATGAAGATGATAAAAGCTATTATAAGACTTCTTTGAATAACAATCTTGAAAATGCAAATTATTATTTGGGAGCTCTATTTTACTCTCTCATTTTTCTTCTTGTGGATGGATTCCTTGATCTGTCCATGACAATTACAAGGTTTGCAGTTTTCCATAAACAGAGTGACTTTTTTTTATGGGCCTTCAAATTAACATCCGATGAGATATCTTTCTTTGGCTTATAGAGTCGTGATGGATTGTCATCTGAACACTTTATGCTAAAGATGTATTAGCTGCTGTCTGCAAAGTCTTTATTTTTATTTCTGGAATTCTATGACGAGTTTCCACGGTACTTTAGCCCTTGTAAGTCTTAAAACACATCTGAACTATCAGGAAAGAGACTGAGTTTTATACGTTGCTAATGGCTTCATCAATAACAAGTTCTTGATCAGTTTGAAATTGTGGTTAGCTTTGCTGCTTATATTTTAACCTGAAGAAGGAGAATGTATCTGTTGAATAATTATTGTAGGAAAGTTCCTCCGGATACTTGAATGCATTGAATATGATTATTGGCTAATGCTGCAGAATCTTTCTTTTCTGTACCTCACCATTAATTTACTCATTTCATGGTCATGTGGATGAGGTCTACCAGATTAATTTGTCTATTAATTTTCCATTTGTTTTCCGACAGTTAGACAACATCACTGTCATAACATTTTCTCATTAGTAGGTAAACGATAAATACATAAAGCTATTAGAGTAGCATTTATTCATGGAGCACACTTCACACACATAAACAAAACACGCACTGACATCGAGACAGATAGAGCATAGCCCTCTCACTCTTTTCTTAAATGAAGTACAGGATTCACTGAGAAACAGAAGTTCCTTATCAGGTATATTGCTTCTGCCTCTTATTTGTTTGAGTTATGCATCTTACCTCATCAGCAGCTCCCTCTCTTCTGCAAAAACAAGATAAGATACTTAGATTGCAAGATAACTGGAATAGGGAATATCTTTCTCTTTTTGCTTGGGAGAGGAGCTTGTATTCCTCTGTTGAGCTTACTGATAGTGAGTATTGTGGAAGGTGCATTAGCTAACGCATATATATGCCCTTTAGTTATTTATGCCCAACCTTTCCAGGCAGAGTATTTGGTTTAACCCTTTAAGTTATATAAATTGAACTGTGAAGAACTCTTCCACTACATTGATTATGACAAGTTATTGCACTATTTTTCAGGTTACCATATCTGACTTCTATGAAGAGTTATATGTTATTGTAGGTCAATTAGTATGATGGTATAAAAAGCATATACATTGCCAGTTCACAGGACTTAAGTTCAAAACTAAGTAGGACTTAGCTATCCACTTTAATTATATTATCATGCAATTTGTAAGGTTCAGTGCTCCATGCAACTTTTCTACTGTACTACTAGTGAAAGAATACCATGTTCTCTACGGCTAGCATTCTTAGCGATAGCTCAAATATAGATAATGGTTATACCTTGGTCCTTCCACAGTTTTCATTGTCGCTCTCATCGCTGCTATTGCTGCTGCTGCTGTCACTGCCATCGCTGCAACTTCCGTCCTTGTTCCTGTTCCTCCTGCTTCTCATTTGATCACGCATCTTATGCATGAAACTGCTTTCCTTTTTCTATCCACAAGCCCCAGCATGCGTAGCAATTGCACTTGTGCCATGGCATGCAGTTTGTTGAGTTTTGGTGCCGTGGCTTGCAGCAGATTGCTGAGTCTTGGTGCCATGGCATGCTGCAGATAGTTGAGTTTTGGTGCCATTTGCACTTGTGCCATGGCATGCAGTTTGTTGAGTTTTGGTGCCATGGCATGCAGCAGTTTGTTGAGTTTTGGTGCCATGGCTTGCAGCATATTGCTGAGTTTTGGGTGCCATGGCATGCGCAGATTGTTGAGTTTTGGTGCCATGGCATGCAGCAGTTTGTTGAGTTTTGGTGCCATGGCATGCAGCAGTTTGTTGAGTTTTGGTGCCGTGGCAAGCAGATTGATGATTGTGATTGTCATGGTGATACATTTTGTCAGTCATATCTTTCATTTTGTCAGAGAAAGAGTGGTGCTCATTGTTGGCCTTGTTGCAAGTCACGGTGGTGGTCTTTTGACAGACAGTGGATGGGGCATGTTGAGCGGGCTTGTGGCACTGAAGTGATGCCATTGAATAAGACTGAAACTGACTATTTTAAGAGTATTATTCAAAGGGCTCAAGCTTCTTATCACTTGCTTGCTTGAAATGACTGGTTTTCTGAGCGCATATATATAGCAGTTTTTGGTGGTGGGAATATTTCTCTGTACTCCTTACATCAGCCACTCTATCATCTTTGAATCTCTTTTCTGGAAATGGCCAATTTGATGAGCATCTATTCTATTCATTAGATAATTTTGTTTATTAATTTATTCCATTTTCCCACTACTGGACCTGGCTATATCCACATACATGACACTAGAATAATAGCCCGTTTGGCCAAATTGCAAAAATCAGCTTATTTTGAGAAGTGTTTTTTTTTTCAAAAGTGCTTTTCTCAAAAGTACTTTTGGTGAGAAGCAGTTTGTGTTTGGCTAATTAGTTTGAAAAGCGCTTCTGAGCAGCAATTAGTGTTTGGCCAAGCTTTAAAAAACTGCTTCTAAGTGTATTTTTCTCGAAAGTGCTTCTCAAAAAAGTGCTTTTGAAGAGAAGCTACTTTTTTCTGCTTCTCCAAAACTGCTTCTGCTTCTCCTCAAAAGCACTTTTTTTCCTTCCAAAAGCTTGGCCAAACACCTCAATTTTTGGCCAAAAGTGCTTTTGGAAAAAGAAAGCACTTTTGGCCAAGCAGAAAGAAAAGTATAGATAAGTGATCATGTAGCCTAAGCTATGACCTAGTGGTTTATGATTGTTCATTTTTCCCCGTAAGTGAAATTATGAGTCGTGGTCTCAAAATCACGATGTAATTTCATGAACTTTTTCTAAATTGCTTGCAAATCGGCCTTTTCAAAATGGCTTGTGGCCTTGGTTATCCTAGCTATGGCACAAGGAATATCTGTTGAGGTGATATGGTTATTATGTCAGTTAGAGGGTTTAAAGCTTTCTAAGATGTGTGCTTCTATTCAATATTGACCTTGATTAGAAAGTGATGATATACTTAATGCACATGTTTCATCGATGCTGATGCAAACTATCGCATAGCTGATCAGAGAGAGATTCTTACCTTGACCTAATGTGATGTCTACTATGGTTCAATGATGGTGTTTTTCATTAAGGCTGGATGGATATTATAGGTCATTTTATCCTTGGCTATGTCAGTAATCTGGGAACTATAGAGGCTTTGTGTCTTTCTCAAAATGATTTTCTTAAAACTAAAAATTTTGGATAAAATATTGTTTTCTCACTCTCATCAACCACATCTAATAAGTGCGAGTACGTTGGAAATTGGACTTTACATTCAGGGAAGTATAGTGGCTCGGCAAGATGTTATTAAATATACAAGACCTTATTATTTAGTTAATTCGGTGTGTTTGGATAAGTGAGGCTCAATTAGCTATTGATCTGTGATGGACAAGCTTTTCTATATATAGAAGGCGACCTCCCTTTTCTAGTTATTATAAAATCCTGAGTATTCTGTCTCTCCGAATATGTGAGTAAATGGTTGTGATGACTCATCTCCGCTAGTTCAAGAACATGATAGCTAGCAGTTGTGAAGTTAGACCCTGGTTTAATATGCCATTGTTGCTGGTACTGCATCATAGAACTAAATGATATATTTGTGTAACCCTAACAGAAGATTATGCTTGTGTTTTGTGTCTTAATCTTTCCACAGTCGTCAATAAGATTCCCAAGTTTGAAATTACATAAATTTCTGTTATAGGAGCACGAGTCAGTGGAGGGATTGTTAATTTTATTCTCATATCCTTTATCCTGTCATCTTTAAATCTCCTTTTTTGCTAAAGACCAAAAGTTGAAGAGCACCTATTCTATTCTTTGAAATAATTTTATTTTTCTGCGTGTATTCTTGCTTCCTTCTAAGCATTTGATGACATCCAAAAATATATCATACCAATAAGTGCCTAATGCACTTGACCTGTAGCTATCCCAAGATGTCATTTATGTTTCTCAAGAAAGTAAGACAAGTTCTTGTCCTTTTGAAACTCTTGATGTACTCCGTATTTGCTTCCTCCGTTTCAGCAAATCTAAGAAGTCTTGAAAAGTCCTATTTCACAGACCGGCATGGTAAGAGATATGTGAGTTCCACTACTGACATCTTGCAAATCAACATCTTGGAAAGAAGGATTGGAATGCAAGTTTCTCAAAGCTGAAGAAGCAATGCCGGCCTTATTTTCATTTAGAGTACAAATGAAGGCTCGAAATTAAGTACTCCTTTTTCAAGGAATGCGTTGCAATTGCTATAGTACATTTTTTTCCAAATGGTGCCATTACATTGTTCTCCATTGAGTCGAGTGTCGTTATGTGCTGATTTTTAGATTTGGCTCTATGGAACATTATCTCCATTTCAGTGCTGCTAGTCACCAGATTGTACTCTATTTTCATTCTCAAAAAAAAGTTACCAGCTATCGGTTTCTTTTTCTTTCTTGTAATTAGCTGACTTCTTGGCGTTTCTTCCACCTCTTTGCTTCTTGGCTTTTACGAATATGGATATATCCCTTATACTGTTATTGTAAATGCAGAATAATAAGCTCTTTTTGAATCAAGTGGAATTGATCTATTTCAATGTACACTTTCTCTTCCTCCCTCGCTTACTGGCTGCGCAGTTAGTTCTTTCTGTCTGTTTTCTGCATTGCTTTTCTTCTGTTTTTTTGTCTTGCTTTTTTTGGGGGTGGGTGAGTGGACTTTGTGAACGTAAGCATTTTTGTTCTTACAAAACAATATCTTTCCGTGGCCTATAAAGTCATGATATAGTGTCATCTATTGCACATGATGCTACGGATGCATTAGCTCCTTCTCTTACAAAGCCTTTGTTAGGTTTCTGCAGATTTATGTCGAGCCCTTTTAAGTCTTAAACACATCAACTATCTGGAAGAAGACAGAACTTGCTTTGTTGCTAATTAGTGGCTTCTTCAATAGCTTTGTTGCCTACAGTTGAACCTGAGGAGAACATAGCTCTGTAACATTGATTGTAACGAAAAGTTCGTCCATATATATGCTAGCAAAGGATTTAATATGGTTATGTGTTACTGCGGCTGATTTTTTCTTTCCTCTCCATTGCTGTTACTGTACTCGTTGCCTCATCATGTGCACGTGGTTTACCAATTTACTTCGCCTATTAATAGTCCATTTTACTTTCCCACAGTGAGACAACAAACCATCTTTTATTAGTAGACAAGTTGACATAGTGTAATTACATAAACATATTAGCATTTATTCATGGAACACACTTCACGCACACACACAGTAACAGATATAGAGACAAACAAAGAGCTCTTTCTCTTAAATAAAGTACAGCATTCACTGAGCAGCAGAAGTTCCTTATTATATAGCTTCGGCCTCTTGCTTGTCTGATTTCTGTAGCTTACTTCATCAGCAGTTCCCTCTCTTCTGCAAAAACAAGATAATTTTAATAATTAGGCTTCAGGATATGGTTCTCTTCTCTGGGGGAGGGAAGCATGTACCCAAGTTTTCAAGTCAGAGAATTTGTGTTAACCTATTAATACACCTTGAGACATTACTTATCCTCGTTAATTATCTTATATTGCATATCATTGTTCCCTACAACCTTTAAATTTTTTGCCCTTCATGCAGATATAAACAATGATTATACCTTGGTCCTTCCGCAGTTTTCATCGTCGCTCTCATCACTGCTGCTGCTGCTGTTGTCACTGCCGTCGCTGCAACTTCCGTCCTTGTTCCTGTTCCTCCTGCTTCTCATTTGATCACGCATCTTATGCATGAAATTCCCTTCCTTTTTCTTTCCACAAGCCCCAGCATGTGCAGCAGTTGCACTTGTGCCATGGCATGCAGCAGATTGGTGAGTTTTGGTTCCACTGCATGCAGCAGATTGCTGAGTTTTGGTGCCATGGCATGCAGCAGATTGCTGAGGTTTGGTTCCATGGCATGCAGCAGATTGCTGAGGTTTGGTGCCGTGGCATGCAGCAGATTGCTGAGTTTTGGTGCCATGGCATGCAGCAGATTGGTTAGTTTTGGTGCCGTAGCAAGCAGAATGCTGATTGTGATTGTCATGGTGAAACATTTTGACGGTCATATCTTTCATTTTGTCAGCGTAAGAGTGGTGCTCATTGTTGGCCTTGTGGCAAGTCACAGTGGTGGTTTTTTGACAGACAGTGGATGGGGCATGTTGAGCGGGCTTGTGGCACTGAAGTGATGCCATTGAATATGTCTGAAACTGACTCTTTTAAGGGTTCAAGCTTCTTATGCCTTGTTTGCTTGAAATTGTCTGCTGATGAACACTATTTATAGCAGTTTGTGATGGTAAGAATACTTCTCTTTACTCCTTCAATCACCCATTCTATCATCTTTGAATCTCTTTTCTGGAAATGGCCAAGTTGATGAGCATCTATTCTATTCCTTAAGATAATTTTGTTTTCTATTGATTTGTTCTATTTTCCTACTACTGGTCTTTTGGACTATATCTAAGAATATGGCACTAGCATTATTGAAAGAAATTCCGAACAAGTGATCATATAGTCCTGAAAAATGTTAAACTTATCTAAATTGCCTGTAATTCTGTACCTCTTCAATAGCTGGAATTTTAAAATTGCATATTTCCTAATGGATTTTGTTTTACACTGACATCTCTAGTTATATGAATTGTATAAAAAAGTAAAAAATGAAAAGAAAAAAAAAGGGATGGCTAACTGAAAGGGGAAACTAAGGGTCTTCCGGAAACAACATCTCTGCTTTTTTAAAGGCAAGGGTAAGGTCTGCGTACATTCTACCCTCCCAGACCCCACTTGTGAAACTACATTGGATATATGGTTGTTGTTGTTGTATGCTCGTGGAATTTAGATGAAAAATTTGATTGTACATATGTAATTTGTACAAACGTACAGTCATCCTTTCATGACAATTAGATAGTTTTTGGTATATAAAAGATTCACTTCATATCTACATCTTTAAGAAGGGCCAATAGAGAAGGGAAGTTCTCTATTTTCCCTGTATGGACCATTACAAGTTTTATCGTGTCTTTATTTCTCATTGCTTCTTCTGGATCGTATGTCTTGGCATGGGCCGAGTTAGGGTCCAATTTGAGCTCAAACCCATTTGATCTGCCTATTTCGCTCAAGATTGGGTTAGTCATTGACCCGTTCATTTGTGGAACTCAACCTATCTTGATCCAACCTATTTCAGCGCATCTAAAGTGGGGTTGATTTTTTGCCCAAATTGATCCATGAGTAACTTTGCTAAATACCTTTAAAATATATTTTTTGCATTTCATGTTCACTTATATGTTTCGATTAAATTTGGATGAACTTCTTTTCACTTTAAGCAATTCATGGAAGAATGAATCGGTAAAAAACTTATGACTGCACCAACTACAAGAACCATCAATATAATGCACGGTGTTCTTCAACTCATCGTTACTCTCGATGGTGAAGATGTTGTCGACTGCGAACCAATATTGGGTTATTTACATAGAGGGATGGAGAAAATTGCGGAAAACCNTGCTTCCCCGCCGTCGTTCAATGAGAATGGATAAGAGGCTCGTGGGATTGACGTGAGGGGGCAAGGATGGCTATATTTCTGGGAGCGAACTCCGGGCGAATATGAAGCGCATGGATNGGCGAATATGAAGCGCACGGAACTACCCAGGGAAAAAATAAATTTGCGGATGCATTGGCAACACTGGCCTCCATGATAAACTTTTGTTTGTGTTATATGACCATAACAAAAGAAAAAAAAATCTTACTTGACAATTAAATAATACATAAGAAAATAATACACATTAATTAAAGCTTGGTAAGAGTACAGAGGGTTGAACTATGACCCAAATTTTAGCCCAACTTGATCCAATATATCTCAACCCAAGTTACTTTTGACTTATCACCTATCTGTTTGTTTTTGTGTATGCGGCCAATTCGCTTAAAAAAAAACTTAATTTTATAATAAATTGATTGATTAAAAAAAACAAAATAATTAAAATTGAGAATTGATTCGAAGGTATTGAACGATGAATTATAGTTTTAAATTACATACGCCATCCGTTCCAATTTATGTGAACCTGTTTTATTGGGCACGAAGTTTAAGAAAAAATGAAGACTTTTGAAATTTGTGGTCCTAAACAAATCAGAAAGGGGCCAAGAGTTTCTGTGTAATTATAAAAGCTTCTCATTAATGGTAGAATTGTAAGTTTAAACTAAATTGTTACCAAATTTAGAGAGGAGTTATTCCTTTTGGAACAGACCAAAAAGGAAATAGTTTCACATAAACTGAAACAAAGTGAGTATTAGATTCGACGTGATATGAATTATATCTAGAACATGACCTTTAATTTAAAACGCCAAAAGAAATTAAGACTAAGATATCAAAAAAGTTTTGGAATGGAATTTAACTATTGTGATCTATAATGAAAATAGGTAAAAAAAAATTGAACTTACACTTCATCTCCAAAATATGATCAATTTACAATGTTAGAGTGATGATTGACTAATAAGTAGTCCAAAGGAGGGGGCCATGGATCGTTTAGATTCTATTCTTCTTACCAACGACCTGATATCCGGCGAAATAAACCATCACGTACATTCTGTGACCTCCATTATCGGGCTACACCTTTCACAAATGACTTGAACTTGGTTACTACTCGACTTATCTTGTACTGGAAAAATTGGACTGTTACTGCTATGCTTTGCTCTGAACACAGACTTGAGAAGCTTCTGAAAGGTCCGAGAAATTTTGGAGCCTTTTTTGGGCACACGTTGAGATTTTGACCCATTCAAATTCATCGCAACCTGCTCATTTGACACCCCTATTTGTGACGATGAAGAAAGCGGGAAAACGCGGTTATCGGATAGATGTGGCATTGACATAGTCCTAGAAGCTATGGTCATGCCGAGTTGGCGTTCAAATGATTTCAATTCGAAGGAGTCGTAGAGTGAACTTCCACAATCCCATATAAGACTAGGCTTTGCCGCCACCATATATATATATTATCCGACGGTAATTGTCTTTCTTTTGTCATCTTTGGGATTTTCTCCATTTGTACTTTGTGTCACTTTGGGATTATCTATATTTTTAAGGCGTCTGAAATTATTAAGGGGAAGTTTCCTATATATTTGTTTCGACGCGTTGGCGGGAAAGAGTTTGATGTATTCATAAAAAATTAGTACTACCACATGTAACATGTTGGTTTATGAACTTCCACTGTTCACACTGATGATCAACGGCGTATTTATGAACGACATATATATATAGTTGGCGGCAAACACTTTCACATATACTAGGGAGCACTTTACTCTTATTGTGAAATTTTCCGGCGCGAATCCGGATTTAATCGGACCTTAATGTGGATATCGGACATCGGGTGGGAAACCAAAAAAAAAGGTGAGTATTTTGCTAATACTGTCCTATTTTACATGATATTCTTTTTTTAAATCAATTTCAGAAAAAGTAAAGTTATATATTTGGGGGATAATTCCATTCAATCTTACGATAACAAGTTTTAAAAGTTTTGTTTTTTTCTTTCTTATTCTTAGTCAAACGATAAAATGAAACAGAGGGAGTAACATTTAACTTCAGAATAATTCTTAAAATATTTTTATAAAAATAGTTCTTATAATAGAAATATCCAGATAAGGAACTCTTTTATAAAGAACCCCGCCAAACCCCATAAATTTTAGGTGTGAACTTAATATTACACCAACCACACCAAATACGATAATAATCGTTTCGTGTCAACGAACATACGGGAGTCGGATCGTGCATATTTTTGGGTAAATCTTCAAACATTATACTGAAAATTGTGGATTGTAGCCTTATTACAATACTTTAACTTACAGAATAATTTTGATAAAAATGAATAAAAGTTGCATGATCAATGTATAAGTCCAAATTTGACCGACCTCGACCTATGATGAGTACGACCAACGACCGAGTATCTTCGAATTGGCGTCCCGAGAAAGACGACCTTAAGGCAAAAGTAGAAATTGTACGACCCTTGTAGAAATGTAAGCTCATTAGGAGACATTGAGAATATTCTGTCGAATATTCCTTGTATTTTAATTTCTTATAATTCTGAATGTTTTCTCTCTAGTATATAAGGAAAAAAAAAAGATCTTGTAAGAGGGCAATGACATTCGGAAAGTGAACGAATCTTGAATACAAAGAAACTTTGTAACTCTCTTTTCCTTACCTACTATTAGTCTAGAGATAATTATCTTCAGCTACGATTTACCCCTTCATCTTTGATTGCTTTGTCCAAAAAAGTTTTAACATCTTTTGAGTCAAATAATTTGGCTCCGTCTATGGGGATTTCCATAGCTGAAATCATAGTTCTTATCTAGATCCCTGAAAGTGATCACCTTTCTTCGAACCTCCAAAACCAACAATAACGGGAAAGGAAGCGAGGCTGAAGGCGATAGTAGACGTCTCGAACAATCTCCTAAACTCCCTCGACGAAGCCGGTAGAGAAGATGATGGGAATACAACACCAAGAGCTACACCTGAGGGGGAGATCTCACCTATTCCACACGAATATCTAACGATTTTGCGCGAAAGGGGAGCCTCGACATCCACCATGGGGGAAGCACCACCAGCAGTCAAGAAGTTGCTGGAAGAATGGTTGACAAGTGCTTTGAGCAACATGATCGAGAAATCCACTCAAGGAGGTGTCGAAGGCATACCACCTACAGAAATCCCAGCTACCGCCGATGAGCAAGCACTACACAAGCAGCTAATACCCACACTGTCACTAACGCGGGTGACACTGCACTCATGGCCATCTTAAAGAAAATGGAAGAGATGGAAAATGAAAACAAAACACTCCACGACCAAATGAAGGAACATCAGGAGAGGGTCGATAAAATACCAGGCGCTCTAAAGATATTACTGAAACGCGACGTAGGCCAATTCGTCGAACAACCTTACAACGAAAGGACTGCTCCTCATCCTATTCCAAAGACCTTCAAGATGCCACCATACTTGAAAATATATGACGGGACCACAGACCCGGAGGATCACCTAATCCATTATGTTACTACAGTAAAAGGAAATGATCTATCAAAAGAACAAGTACCGTCTGTGCTGTTGAAAAAATTCGGCGAGACCTTGACAGGGGGAGCATTGACATGGTACTCCCAGTTACCAGTACGATCGATATCGACGTTCGAAGAAATGGCAGATAAATTCGCCACCGCTAATGCAGGAGCGAAGAAGGCTGAGGCTAGGGTCAACGTTATCTTCGCCATTAGGCAAACGGCGGGCGAGGGACTTCGGGATTTCTTGGCC